TTGTAAGGAATTTTGTATGCGGTGGACATGCCGAGCAATCACAGTTTGGGCACAAAGCCCAAGTAAAGCGACGGGACCACCTGAAAAGCGACTCCCCCAACTTGGCGTCCATTAGCTTATATAGCGAGTTTCGACCGTAACTCATGTAGCTGGGGATCTGACTTTGCAGCGCACAAGTGTCGTGTTGGACTGCAATGATAAGAACTCGGTGCGAAGTGCGAAGTGATTCAACTCAACAGCTTCAAACCGCTTTTGACCTCGAAGCTCCCTTCAGAGGGGCATACTCGGTCCATCCCAAGTGGATCAGTACGACTTGGTATTAATGTCATAACTGTATAGCCAATTAGATTGAAGGCATGTGACGTCTGACGTCATCTCGCACGCGACACCTGCTCCTTTGCATACCTGCTCAGGTCCAGAAGCTTGCACAGAATCTCATCAAATATGGCCCCAAGCGCGCGCCGTTCTCATTCAAGACATGTGCTGAAGTATACCGTTATTTGAGGTGTTGGCCCCATCCTAGCCTGCCAGGTGCGCTACACAACGCTATCCGCGCTGCCTCGCAGGGCTTTAGAGGCAAGCGGCAGACAGCAGACATCGTTGCACGTCCTCAGGGTGAAGCCATGCCAACCTCTCACATGTTACGCTATTTGTTCCTTTGGTTAATTATGTAGGGAGGCCTGGCTCATAGATTAAAAGTTGCAAAGCAATTCAGGTGGGAGTAGATCCAAACAAAGGAATCACACACAAAAATGGGAACAGAAAAGGATCGACGCAAGCTTGAAGCTGTCATCCACAGACTCAAAAACTGCGTGTTGACTTCGGCGTGGAACAACTCACTCAGGTTCGCCAAGCTTGAGCAGCGCAAGAGTATGCAAGGGTTGGAACGACAGGCGCTCCTGGACATCCTTGTTGCGAAGAATGCTTTGAACGACAACGTGCCCGCTCCAAAGCCGGTGCTGCTTGCGTGCGCAGTCCTCATTCAGCTCGGAGAGGTACTGCCGTACTCCTTGACCTGCCAGACACAGAAATTGGGCCTTGAAGGTGCGGCTCAGCTTCGTCGGTGCGCCCGATGCTGAGCTACGGGAGCTAAACAAAATTTTGGCGCACCCTAATCAATCTTCTGAGGTCCTCAGCACCATCGGGCGCTCCTGCCCAAACCTTTGCATTCTAGACGTCAGGACGTGCCAGCAAGTTGACAACAAAATTGTCAGAGATGTCACTGCCTCAGCAGCCAACTTGCTTGACACTGATGCAACACATGCATGGACTGCTCTAAGAACTGATCTTTGCTGAGCATGTACTGAATTGCATTCTCAAGTTGAAATGGCAAGTTTAGACATAGCCAGCCGATGTCCTCGTCCCCACTGGGCGTCCCGTTGAACGAGGCAAGCGACGTAGACGCAGGTTAGCTTGCACAGCAACTGCAGAGCATGGCCACACAAGTGCGGAATTACCTGGAGATGGAGTGTGCATTCCGTGTGGATTGTAAGCACTCTTACTACAGCGCAACGCAGGCAAAGGCAGATTCCGGGCCTGCGGCAGGGTTGCTGTTTGCTGGTATGCGCTGAGATGCGCTGAGGTCAATGGCAGTGCGGTAGGCATGAGGGGCGAGCTGCGAACAATGCAGCGCTTGGAAGGAGGCGGAGAGGATGCACTCATGAGATGCAAACGCGGTCGCCGAGCAATAAGCTGACGGATCAGACTACGCGGCTCGTGCTGCCCCAGCATGATGTGGCAAGGTTGCAGAAGCAGCACAGCCCCATGCCATAGCACCTCAGGCTGCTGTCATGGCGCAGATGCCAGAGATACCGGCAGGATGCCATGAAGTCTATGTGGACGTGCGGAGTGCCCATCATCAAGCCTTGCGCCATGCTCTATACCATTATGGATATTATGGTTAAGCTGCTTTCAACTTTTGGATCTTTTGGTAGATATTGGCATGATGATACCGCTCCAGCGGCTGCCACACGGAGCGGACCTTCCACAAGTGGCCTGAGCATCGTCACATGCACAACTGGAGCCACTTGAGCCATCGAGACTGAAAGCCCTCGGAAACCTATCTGGCAGACAAGTGCGGAGCTCTCCTTGAACCCGAAAGCGTGAGCATGACCTGATCCCCATTTGATGGGTTGAGCACCGAGGCAGACAAGGGCGTGAACAAGGGACAGAGGTAAATGCCGCGGAAGTTCGACTTGGTGAGAGCATATCCAGCAATGCCACCTTTGGTGTCCCCTTGCGCTGGCCCAGCTTCCATTCAAAGCCGGCATTCTGCTGGATGCCTGCAAGACCAACCCAGTTAAATTTTTTATGTGCAGGTGAATGCGTGTCAGGAGGCCGGGCCTACTCGGCTTATGCCCACGTAGGTTGTCGCAGCAGAAGATAACGTCTTTTGAAAAAGCGAAGGATTCAGTCGCAAAAGGCGCTTCCAAGCTCAACTGGATGATCACGGCGCCCCTGGCGTCGCGGAATGTTGCACTTGGCGAAGGCACTCCATCCTTGCCACCCCGTGTCCGTGATCACTTTGAAGGTAAGATGCCCCCCACGATTTTCGCCACAGATCCGGGCTCCGGATGCGTGCTCCAGATCCGTGATTTGTGTGATTGCCATTGCCGAGCCCACCACGAGTTGTTTTACATGCTGAGATACAGCTGCCTGGCGATTGCCACTGCCAAGCCCACTACTCGCTGCTTTTAATAGGTGTTGGGTGGGGGGAACTAAAACTACTGCGAATCTGGCTGCCTGGTACCCATTTCCAGCCCTCCCGGACCAAAGCCTCTGTGAAAGCAAGAGTCGAGAAAGAATAATAGAGATTAGGACTTTCCTGGCCAGTAATACCAAAATTGTCACTGCCGAGCCCACTACTAGCCGTCATGTTGGTACGGCAGTTGCTCTGCATTTGTTCGACTGGTGGTGCGTTATGCGTTGCATTCTTGCCGTGAGTGTGCCAAGCTGCTCTGACACTGCGAAGTCTCAAAGCGAAACATGACAAGGTCTTACAGCACTGTGACCGGCTGGAAGTACTACGGCTTGATGGATGCACCCGCATTTCAGACAGCGCGTTTGCTCCAGCACTGAGTCAGCCTTAGCCGTGTCTGAATCCCACCGTCACAAAGTAGTAATCATGATGCTAGTGACACGAATCGCGCCTTTGCATGAGGTGGAAGCCTCCGCTGGCCGGACTTCTCGGCTTGAGGGAATTGTCGGTCGGAAAGTGCGGGCAGATCACAGCCGAGGCCAGGCTACGGAATGCAAAAAAGCTATTTGCACAGACCAAAGCACCAAAGCTTTCTCTCAGCGGCCCGACTTGGAAGGGACAACCACATCGCAACAGGTCCAGTTTGTCCTTTTGGATGTCTGAACAGCTTCTCATGCGCTGTCTCTAGCAGAATTTTAGATACGCGAGTATCGTCTGCTTTCAATGTTGAGAGAATGAAATTCTGGATACGCATGGCATCCGTGTTGTTATGCAGGGGCTCATGGGCTACGTCTTCAAAGGTGCACCGTACTTGAGGACGAACCAGGGAGAAATCACTCCGCAGTCAGAGCTGGCCCGCAGCTTCCCGTTAAGGGCCGCTCCTACTATACTCGGCATTGTCATCATTTACGGTCCAATTCGTGGTCCTCAGTGAGCAGATGATAATAGACCAGGCAGCAACAGCAGCAGATGCAATTGCGATTTCAGCTCAGGCATGTTGGAACTTCAAAACTGCACGCCGCCAAAGCTCATGTCCTTCAGCCCGAAGGAAGGAATGGTCGTCGAAGAAGCCTATACAGCCTACACTACACGGCTGTGTAACCTCCCCCACCCATGTTGCCAGAAGTGGCCCCATCAAATAGGTGATAGCAAGCATTGAGTCAACGCTTCCCAGAGGTCCTGGAAACCCATGACTAAGCAGGAAGATTCCTGAACTAGTCCTGAACCAAAGACAGTCCGTCCAAATCTAAAGCTTATCCTGCAGCACTCTGCAGGACCCTTGGCCTTGCCTACTGTCATGGCACTGTCACCGACGAGGTGTCGCTAGGGTGGAAACAATTATACTTCCCGTTGACAGCTAAGGCCTCGGAGGCTACCAAATGCTACAAATGCAGACCCTTCTCCAAAAAAATTGCAAGGCAAAAATTAAGGCGGCAATCTGCTCTATTCCAACAGTGGGTGTCCGAAAATGGAGGGACCACAAAATGGGGAGGCCAAAGCGTAGCGGCAATGCCTAGGGCCTAGGGGTCACTGAGAGGTCCCAAACCTGCGCCGTGTACGTGATGACATGATAGGGGTCCATTTGATGGGATATGAGCAATGGTCAATACTCGC